CTAGTAAAGCTTCCTCCTCCTCCTATATTAACACGTTTAACTAGACGATAAAGTAGAGACTTAAAACTCTTCCTTTTAAAAGAGAAATACAGTCTACTCTTTACCAATTAAAGATAGGATACGGATACTTTAAATCCTATCTATATAGATTTTCTCACTTAGATATAGATCTATGTATATATGGCCTAGTAAAATAAACCCCGAGACATCTACTCCTTAGGTGCCCGCTCTATAACTCTCTAAGAGTAATTCTCAGAGCCGCCTTAGAAACAAACAACCCTAGTTTTCAAGAGGTATTAAACACCGGACCCGGAATTCTAGCAACGCTAGAATTCCTTTAGCAGACAAGGATAGCTACGCGGAAATAGCGCCTTAACGACCTTCCCGAGAGGGAATAAAATATCTATAATTCCGCTCCGTTTACTACCCTCTACCTTCTCTTCTCCTTTTACTTTCCTTCGTATTATTTTCTAGGCTTAGATCTAACCGTTCCTTGTATAACCTTGCCTTTATCCTGACCCTACACCCCTAGCTAGTTCTTTAGATAGAACCGTCTGTTATAGTCCCAGACTACATATAGACGTTAAACAAATCAATCAATCAATCAATCAATCAATCAATCTAACGGAGAGCCTGCATATCGCTTAGGGCGATAGGTTAGGGTAAATGAATTCAACTCAACTCAATCTAACGGAGAATCAATCGGACGAAAAAAGATCCAATCAAGAATCGGCTAAGACTACCAGCAAAACAAAGCGAACAGCTAGTATATCTATCTAGCAGTACCGCACCTAGTGCACCGTCTTAGTACGGCCGCTAGCCTAGGTCTTCTCAATACTAACTCCAACTCTCTAAACCAAAAATTTTCAACCTAGAGGCCCGAGCGCCGGCTTAGCGAATACAGTATAACTATACGACCTAGAAAGGAACCCTAGACGCCTAGGGGTCGGCGAAACTTAAGTCCGACATCCCCGGTCGCTCCGAAACCTATTCGAACCCAATTAGAAGTCCCGGCTAGAAGGGGCCGCCGCCGAATCAATTCAACCGGCATAACCCTCCGCTCGATAACTACCTAACCCGAACTAGAGCCCTATCGCACAGGGGAAGAATCAGAAGAGAATGCTACTACAACCTAGGAAGGCAGAATCCCCTCAACATCTTAGCTAAACCCAACCATTTAAGGATAGGGTGAACATTTAATCTCCAACAGCTAAGTCCTCGAAGCCATTGCAGAAATCCTAGCAAAACAGCAAGAAGATAGAAACAACGCTAACCGCGAATACCAAGAGCTTACTAAGCAAAATAAGGAACTAGCAAAACAGAATAAACAACTCTAAAATCAGGTCGCAGAGATAGCTAACAAGCTAAAAAGGCTTACCTAAATATATAAGAACCCAGCAACAGTTTCCAAAGGAAATCCCAACTAGGCAGCCGTAGCAGCGACCCTACCCGTAGCGCTAGGCCCCCTAACGTACAACACACAGTCCGGAAATAACCCTAGGATCATTAAAATCACCGTACCTCCCGTGCTAGCAAGCTAATCTGGGACTAATAGGGGACTCACCCAGAACATATCGATAGAGACGGCTAAAGCTCAGATCAGCAAAGCTATACAAGGAAAGGCCGCTACGAGAGATACCGAAGTCCTAGGAGTAGGTATAACTAAACAAGGATACCTTATACGCTTTAGAACCGAGAAAGATCGAGAGCAGGCTAGCAATCACGACGAGTAGACGAATATCCTAGGGAAGGGCGTAAAGATCAACCGCCCTAGGTTTAGAGTAGTAATATATAAAGTCCTAACTGAAGAAGTTGATATAAGTAAAAAGGAAGAAGCTATTAGAAAAATTAGGGGAGAAAATAGCTACACTCAGCCTACCTAACAAATCGAAGACATCGCCTAGATAAAGAAAAAGGACGTTCCTATAGGAAAACACGCTTCCCTAGGCATCTAGTTTAGCAGCGAAGACGCAGCACGTTACGCGATTCAAAACGGCCTTATATTCGGGCCTAACTTCGTAAACCGCGCCGAGTACTACAGCCTAGAAAGAAAGAAGTGCTACCGCTGCTAAAAACTCGGCCACCTAGCTTAGAACTACCGAGAAGAAGGAAATAACCCTAACCCACTATAACCTAGAATCTAATACCAGACACACTTCGGATCCTACAGTTAAACATATAGAAATCAAGGGCTTATATAGAAGCCCTAATAAACGACCCAGAAATAGAACAACTCGATATTCTCCTCATTTAAGAACCACCAGTATCCTTCTTTAAAACATTTATCCAACACAGAGCCTAGTAACTCTACATCCCAACCGACACAAAAGGAAAAAGAAAACGGACCGCAATCTATATAAATAAACGGATCTCACCCGCAGCACAACAGCAAGTCCACTACGATAGCCCAGACATTACGGCAATCAAGGTACTCACGCCAGCTAGGGAAGTCCTTATGTTTTCAGTATATATACCTCCAATCGGCGGAACGCGCCACGCAGCAGAACAAGAAATACAAGCTGCGCTAAGAGTAATCCAGCAAACAGTTAAAATAATACCCTAACGAGGCATCATTATAGGCGGGGACTTTAATAGGCAAGATCCACTCTAGGGCGGAGACCAAATAAAACCGCATTTAGTAGGAGACGCTACGTCTCTAGTACTCTTTATACAGGACTATAAGCTCGAAAGCCACCTCCGCCGCGGTACGCCAACATGCTAGGCAGTAAACAAGCAAGGTAGCAAAACAACAATAGACCTAACCTTAAGCAACCTCCAGCAGCACCTTCTCAAATACGAACTTTTCCCTCAAAGCTACGGATCGGACTACCGCCCCATCTACTCGGAATAGAGCCTAAAAATAGAGTCTAAAGTAGAGAGAACTCCAAAAAGGATATATAAACGAATAGACTAGTCGAAAGTAGGGAAAACTATCCAGGACGCCCTAGTAATACCAGAACACATCTATACCCGCGAGGAGCTCGACATAGCCGTAGACCAACTAATTACCACTACAACTCAGACAATAACCGAGCTAACCCCTACAGCAAAGCCGTGCCAATACTCGAAACAGTAGTTCAATCCTAAACTTAAAGAACAACAAGTAGAATATAATAAACTACGAAGGTTTTAGCAAGCATACTACGCCGCGAGAGGTAGAGACGACCCTTTCACCTAGAGTTAGTTCGCAACAATGCAAAAGAGTCGTCGGGAATAGGTAAGAGCAATTAAACACGCAAAGAGTAGCCATTAGAAAGACTTCCTAGACCGCGCGGGCGAAGGAAACCTAGTCTAGAAAGCGGC